TAGGAATGGTATAAATGAGAGATGCCTTCCTTCTTTTTCCTCGTCTTCCACCTAACCCCAGAATCACAACTGTTTTTCTTCGGAAAATTGTCAACTATGTCTGTCCATGTAAATTCGTGGTCCTGATCCAGAATAAAAGGAGGAGGTTAAGAATTTAAGTATGAACTATTGAGTGCTAAGTGAATCGAGCTCAAGGCAAAAACCACGAAAAATCGCCAAAGAAGTTCAAAATAAAAACATCCATTGTTAGTTGCTTTTAAGGAGGGGACGGGCGTAGGACGTGCCTGCATGCAAATTTCACACGAGCAATTTTGCAGAGGACACAAGAAAACTGACAGTCGAAAATAGAGTCATTCATCTGATGGCCAAATAGCTAGCAAATAGAAGGTCGCATTCTAGTTCTTGGAAAGGGTAGCGTTTGTGATTTTTCGAGGTAATCGTATTTGAGGGGTTGGCTGAGCAGTAGGACGACCGTCCTGATTTTGAAAACGGAGCGGTTGACCGCGAAAAAGAACTGGATCAGGGCTCAAACATGGACTGATGCGAGTACACTGGACTGTACCATCGTGTGCAATCGAGGCGTCTGACGGTACAATGCCAGATTCCGCGTGACGCCGCGATTGAGGTATCGTGACCGGGAAGGGCTAAGAGTACAAGCTATAGTGAGGAAGGTAAAAAAAAAAAGCTGGGAGCTGATAATGGCGAGTGCGAGGGGAGTAGATGAGAGCATTTTGTGCTCTCATCTACTCCCCTCGCACTCGCCATTTAAATTCCACTATTTAGGAATAACCAAGGGTCCCGCCCACTTCGTTTAGTACGACCAATTTCTCTAAAGAATTGATTGGATTTCAGAAGTGACACCGGGTCAGTGGGAATTCCAATTAGGCAATTGTGAAGGCATTTCTATGGGTGATGAACTGTGGATGGCTCGTTACCTTCTGCACCGCGTTGCTGAACAGTTCGGAGTGAGCGTGACGTTCCATCCAAAACCTGCGGTTGGTTCTTTTTTTGCATTTCCTGTAGTGAATACAAAAAGATTATTTCAAAGAAGTTGCCATCGCTTACGATAGCTCATGATCACGTTAAGCTCTGGGTTAAGATTGGTTTCAGTGTTCTGTATGGGTATCTAGTTGAAAACGCAGTTTTGAAGCCGTTTTCTATGTTTTTTTTTTACAATCAGTGATTTCAGGTGACAACGGGTGACTGGAACGGAGCTGGTTGCCATTGCAACTTTTCGACCGAGGAAATGCGTAACGAAGGTGGTCTAGCTATAATTGAGGCCGTGAGTGTAGTTTTCTTTCCTCTTATAGCGCCAATAAGATGCGGTATGATTTCATTTGCATATGCAGCATTCTCTTACCTTAGCTTGGAGGTAGCACGATCTGCGGCTAGTCTCAATAGTCTCAAGATTCACCCTCAGAAGTGTGAGCTCTGTTCCATCCGCCTCTGAGAATGCAAGCGCGGGTTCACTCATCAGTGGTCGTCGCTGTGCTTTCGACCCTCTATCCCTTCTGAGGGAGTCAAATTTGCTCCTCTCGTAGTGACTCTGGAAACGTTTCGACCTTGACCCTTGACCTAGAATCTGCACGTTAGAGTGACAAGCTTGTCCGGGTTTTCTTCGTTTATCCCGTAGTTGTGTCGTATTTTTTTCCACTTTCATTTCGTTTCATTCGGGGCAGAATTATAGAAGAGGCGGGAGCTATATCACCGTGCTCTTTTGCCACACTGACTTCGAGGCACAACCCTACGCATAAATATCACACTCCGTAGGGGTTATTCCATAAGGGTTATCATTTTTTCGCCGAGAACCAAGAATAGCGTCCAGCTCTGAGGTCAAACGCCAATCGTCCTATGAGCAGACTCACAAGGGGGGGGGGGGGGTCGTTCAGGGTGTGCCAAGCTTTTTCAAAATGGTTTCTTGCATGACATTGGGGCACATATGGGGACCACAGAAGCATGGTTCATTTTTCCTGAACGGCCCTCTGAATACCAGAAAAGGGGTCCCTAGTTCGATTCCTCGTGGTGACAAATTTTTGCATTTCGAGTTGACGTTTCAAATTCGCGCAAAATGGAGTTAGCATGAATAATTAGTATATTCATGATTAGGACCGTCAGTAACCCTTACAAATAGACTTTGATTGAAAAACTGGTGAAAAAGGTGTGACTAGGGACCCCCTTTTCTGGTATTCAGAGGGCCGTTCAGGAAAAATTAACCATGGTTCTGTGGTTCCCGCATGTGCCCCTATATCATGCAAAAGACCGTTTTGAAAAAGCTTGGCACACCCTGAAAGACCTTCCTTGTAGTTCAAGGTTTTTTCTCTTCTTCTTCTTCTTCTCCCTAGCGTTAGTCCCGCGCAGTCGCAGGGTCCGCTGTCTTTGTCAGTCGTCGCCACTTTGCTCTGTCCAGGGCATCTTCTGCTGTGGCCATGACTTCACTAGGTCCTTCTTGATCACGTCTCTCCACCTCTTCTTTGGGGCTCCTCGCGGTCGCTTGCCTTGCACTTCGAAGTCCATCGCTTTCTTATCGGATGGATCCTGTGGCCTCCTTAGCACATGCCCATACCATCGCAGACGCTGTTCCCGCACCTTCAGCTGGACAGGGGCAGTCTGCATGACCGCTCTGACATCCTCGTTTCTGACCCTGTCCAGTCGCGTCCAGCCGCAGGCCCACCTCAGCATCCTCATCTCAGCGGAGTGAAGCTGCCTTTCGTGATTCTTGTTCAGGGGCCACGTCTTTCCCCAATGCCTTGATTTCGCAAATCTCACCTCACAGGCGAGCTGTGGGGAGCGGGACAAACGTTTCAGTACTTCATTTAAGGTTTTTGTTCACAATCGAGTGAAAAAACCTTCCTTACTTTAGGCAATGCCGAAGCTGGCGGCCACACACAAGGAAGCAATAACTGTTTACGATCCCCATGGTGGAGAGGACAACAAGCATAGGTACATTTCGACAGCTTCATCACGGAATGTGCTCTTAAGAGCGCTGTAGGGAACTCAAAGGCTCCCACAAAGGCTCTGTCTCATTCAGATTGAGCAACTTTGAGCTTTTAGGCTTACTGGCAGACACGAGACAAGCTCTTATGATAAGTTCACCTGGGGAGTAGCTAACAGAGCAGCGTCGGTGAGAATTCCAAGAGGTGTCGCGCAGGAAGGAAAGGTGAGCACTGAACCTTTATTCTTTG